TCAAGGCTGTTGTCATCTTAAACTTCTCACAATATTAAGCACGAAATGCCTAGACTTACTTTATCATTTTAATCACTGGTGGTTCAAGAAATGAAGTGTAATCTCACAGACTCAGATTCATGGAATCACGGGTGTTTGAAAGATTTTATTGCATGTGTTGTAAAAAAGTTGTGTTTAACTGCAGTAACATCATAACTTACAGGGCTAAAAGTGACTTAATAATAATAATACGGATATTATAACAATAATAATAACAACAACAATTATTATCATCATCATCATCATCATTATTATTATTATTATTATTATTATTATTATCATTATTATTATTATTATCATTATTATTATTATTATTATTATTATTATTATCATTATTATTATTATTATCATTATTATTATTATTATTATTATTATTATTATTATTATTATTAATACAACAGTGTATTTGCTAAAAACATCAGTCATAATCAGGACAATCTCAAGCCCACCAAGGGAGGGCTCCAGCAAAGTAAAATCTATGGCCAGGATTTCATTTAGCCTAGATGCCTACAAGTGGCCCATATAGCTATGCGATACCAACCCTGAATCTTTTGTAGTTTGACAACGCTCACAACCCTGGACCCACTGCTTGATGTCAGAGAACATCCCTGGGCAGTAACAGTGCTCTCTGACCAATTCGGTGGTATGCTCATGGTCCTGGTGCAGCTGTCTCAGCTGAAGTCCCAGAGACTTTAGAGCATCTGGGAGGACAAGTTGGAGCACTTCCTCACCCCCATCAGGACGTGAAGTCTGGCAATAGAGTATGCCATCCTTCTCTACCAAACGGTCCCACTGACGTAGCAGAACCATAACTGGCTTGGGAACCTCACTCCTCTCCCTTGGAGATGGCGGAGACTGCCTTTTCCAAAACACCAAGAAATCCCTCAGGTGTGGATCAGCCTGGTGTCCTCTGGCAAATGCTAAACGTCCTGCATGGTGTTGGGCTGTAAGCACAACCCCCACCTGTGGACGTTGGGCCCTCATGCCACCCTCATGGAGTCTGTTTCTGACTGTTTGAGTAGACACATGCACATTTCTGGCCTGCTGGAGGTCACTTTGCAGGGCTCCTGTTCCTCCTTGCACAAAGGTGGAGGTATTGGTCCTGCTGCTGGGTTGTTGCCCTCCTACAGCCTCCTCCACGTCTCCTGGTAGTGCCTCCATGCTCTGGACACTACGCTGACAGACAAAGCAAACCTTCTTGCCACAGATCACATTGATGTGCCATCCTAGATGAGCTGCACTACCTGAGCCACTTGTGTGGGTTGTAGACTCTGTCTCATGGTACCACTAGAGTGAAATCACCACTAGCATTCAAAAGTGACCAAAACATCAGCCAGAAAGCTTATGTAGTAAGAAGTGGTCTGTGGTCACCACCTTGCTAATTGCCTATAATTTCCACCTATTGTCTATTCCATTTTCACAACAGCATGTGAAATTGATTGTTAATTAGTGGACAGTTTGATTTCACAGAAGTGTGACTGACTTGGAGTTACATTGTTGTTTAAGTGTTCCCTTTATTTTTTTGAGCAGTGTATACACATCCCAAAAGGCTCACACAAGCTAGGTCCCTTAACTTTTGGTAGCTGTAGAAAGGATTAAGTTGTGGTATACCAATGGCCAGAAATGCCATTATTATTACTTTATCACAAAGTCAGGGGTGATCTGAGACGAGTGCTGCAAGGTACACTGTGCTGCAGATGTGCTGTTGCTGTCCTCCATCTTCAAAATGCATCACCCTCCAGGACCTGAAGATCAGTGAAGCACCAGCCAAACCAATCTTAATATTGGAACAATATTATAGTTTGATGTTGAATTTCCACCACCTTTGCACCAGTGGTTAATGTTCAAACAATAATAAAATCATGATTAAAAATCAACAGGACTTCACAGATATTTCAATCAATACTAAACCACTGCAAATTACCATCAATGTCTTTTTCAGAGGTTTATTATCTAAAAGAAAAAGGATACAATTGAACATGTCCAAAATAATATCTCTATAACACAGTGCCAGACCTGATCTAAAAAAAAAAAAAAAAAAAAGAGAGAGACATCTTTGCATCAATTAAGAAAACAGTTTATTTTATGAAAACATTTTTTTTGTTAAATCTATTATTTACAGTGTTTTCAGTTTACTCTGTGATGGGGCTGGACCCCCCAGGACCGTGACTCAGATGTTGCAGGACACTAAAAGCTGTAAGGCTTGCAAAGAAACAACAGAGAAGCACCCAGAAACACTGTGAGACTAATTAACAGCACCCAGTGCAGGAGTTTCAAGTGAAACCATTGTGAGACCTTCTCTCTTTTGCTTAGTCAGGCCCTTATTTTTTCCTCCCAGCCCAGTTAGGTCCAGAGGCCAGCTCATTTGTAATGGCAAAGGCCAGCATGCGACAGACTTGCACCTCCTATGTGTTCCCTCCAATCAAAGAAAAGCCATCCAGGTTTTGAATTAGTTTTTTTTCTCTCTTCCTGATAATTTTGACAATGGAACAAAACATGTTTAATAGTTTACTACTACATTTCCCCATTTGATTTTTCCCTATAATGAACAGTGAACTGTCCAAATCTGAATCGAGATATTGTCTCTTCTCTCCTGGTTCTCCTACTTTCCTTTGAATAGAATAAAACCATCTCCCTGTCCTCTCCTCCTCCCACCGATTTGCCATCTTTCCCTTGTTTTCTGTTTTACCATGCTCTTCATTTCAGCTTTGCTAATACTGACATTTAAATCAACTTGATCTCCTTTAGCAGCCTGCTTTGCAATTTTATCTGCCACCTCATTGCCAATAACACCATAATGTGCTGGTATCCATACGAATTTAACTATCAGTCCCATCATATTTATTCTGTAGATTGTCTGTAAAATCTCAATTAAAATGTCTGGTCTGGCATCTGAATGACTTATCCAAGCTGGTCAATGATGAACTAGAGGGAACAGATTATTGTCCATAATGGCTTGTTATCCTCCACCCACTGAACAGCTAACAACAATGCCAACATTTCCCCTGTGCACACTGAAAGTCCATTATTGAGCCTTTTTCCAACCTTTATCTTCAATTCTGGAAAATTGAATGCCACACCCACTTGATTGCCTATATTTTTTGCTGCATCTGTATAGATTTGTTCAAAATCATAAAATTGATTAATATAACCCTGCACTATATAGGAATTCAAAATAAATTCCTTGTCTTTGAAAACATGCGACACTGAAACCACCACGTGTGCTGCAGGCACTTTGGAAAATCTGATCACATTTCCACAGATAACCTAAGCAAGGATCTATAATCCAAAAATAATAGAAAAATGATTAAATATTCTTAAAAAAAGACCAGTAGAAAGTTACAACACTGGAACAAATTTATGACCAAAAACCTGAGGAGGTAAGACGATGGAGGGGATGGTTTCGGTTGCCGTGAGAAAGACAGTAGGCTGTATAGTTATCTCCCAGATCTGGTGTGATCCTAAAACTATACAAACTACTACCTCATTCCACAGCTCCCACTTTCTCCCTCAGTCCACCCCGGTCATATATTAACTTTATATGAGCATAATAAACATGGCCCTGCACTCTTGGAAACAGGACAGATGACTGGTCTTCAGAAAATCCTGCAGCCTTCTTCCCAGAAGCTCTTTGTTCTTGAGGATAGGTAGGCATCTCCCAGGACAAACCTAGGAGAAATAAAAAAAAAAAGTAGTAATAATAATAATACATCTTTAAATGATCACAACCAACAAAGCCTGAACAAAACAAAAAGCATCAAAGAAGAGTCAAATAAGATGTGGGAGATGTTATGACGCATCATTTGAAGGCCAGCAGAAGGTGACATTAGATGTGCTGCTAATAAAACGTGTGAATTAAGGTGTTTGTTTGCGGTACCTTTTAAAACTCATCTTTGCTGATACTGTGTTTGAATATTATCACATGTATCTGCACTGCATAGGCTCAGGAGGGCATTTCCTGTTCTACATGCAATATATTTTTACAAAGCAAGAAAATTCTTCCTGACAGCGAGATACGAGAACAATGACAGCGAGCAGATGTGGGGAAAAAACAAACCCCAAAACAGTCAAACAGGGTTTTTAACATTGCTTCTCTGATTGTTTAGTGAACTTCTGTCATTGTCACTGAACCCTGGTAGATATGCAAGATATTAAATGGTGGATGGCTCAGAAATTCCTGCAGCTAAAAAGGAGATCATTACCTGCCCTCACAACCATGTCAGAAATGACGCTTTCCAGTTGTGTTTTATTCAACAACTCAGTATGATTAACTCAATTTTATAAAAAACAAAATCTAGGGACAGCCATGCATGCATTAATCTCCTCGAGGTTAGATAATTGCACTTTATGACACACTTTCAGGCAATATAACATGAGGTTGCTCTGCTGACCATCCCACAGTCTTGGCAAAGAACCAAAGTGATTGGGCTTTTTCCTATCAGGACACCCATCCTCTCCCTGAGGAGATCAGTTTGACGAGCACACTGTTATCTTTTATATCCGTCTTAAAGACATTTTTAAAGCAGGTTTTTATCTCTTTAGTGTCCATAATTGTTTTACCACCTCCTCTACATTTTTTATTTGTGCTTTTAAAATACCTGCATTTCATTTTTAACTGTCCTTATTTCCCCTTTTAACTCCTTCCTCTGCCATTATTGATGTTGACTTTTTCCACGTCATACATTTTTTATTTCCTCTGTCACATTATTCTTTACACATCAAAATCAACACACATTGTGACGGTCCATCTGGATTTAAATGATAGATTCACACAGTTAACAGCGTGGAATAGTGGTCAAACATTAAGTTTTAGTCACTCTTGATGGGTCACATCACACTGGCCACTAATGAGTGGCATGACGGGAATCTGCAGTGTTTCTGGATGCAGCTGCTTTTTGAATTGAAAAAGGAAGAATGTGATACAACACCACAAACCTACAGCCGAACCAAATCCAACATGCAAGCTTTTCCCCGTAACAAAAGCCTTTACGTTTTGCCATTTCTCTGTGGGCGCTATCCAAACACAACCATTTCTAAACATCAATTTGTGTTATTATATTAATAAAACGCAAATGAAACCCTCAGCTTTCTGCCTGTGTGGTGTTCAGAGGTGATACTAAAGGTTTGGGTGGGCCCCCTGCAGATTTTCACACTTCAAACTGATGTTTGGAATGACTGCAGTTAACGATGTGGAGTCACTATTTTAAACATGTACGCATAAAGTGTGTGCGGCAGAGAGTTAAACTAAAGCAGGGATCCCGTATCATTCTACATTATTAGGTGGCGCTAACATGCTAACCCGAGCACAGTCTCAGCCTCTGGAAACATCGGCTGCTTGGTTTACAGTAACCCTGTCCCCGTCAGAATCACAGCAGTATCTGTTAAAGGAGGATGGAAAGCAGCCACTGTCACCGTGTGTGGAATATTTATCTGAGCCTGCCTCAGAAGTAGCTAGCCCGCTGTTAGCTCACAAAGCTAGCTGACAGCTACCTCGAATTGGCGGTTCTCGACCTGCTGTCATATCCGCACCGCACGCGACAACACACACCTGCCTGTAGGCTCGGTACTTCCCCCCGTAACTAATCGAGTGTTTGGGTGCCGACCTACAGCAGTGGTTTACCTCAGAAGCCTCCCTGTAGCCTGGGTGGCCCCCCCATATCATCGTCGCCATCTTTCCGAGCGGAGCGGTTTGCAGCCAGCTGCTGATACGCACAAATATCGCGAGATTCATGTGTCGTGCCGGGATTTTTTATTATTATTTTTTTTAACGTGTATATAATCCCTGAGCTTATAAAATATCAAGATTTCCCACTTTCAGGACTTCTTACTTCAGAGTGGGCGCCAATAATATGAAAATTTGGGGGGGTAAACTTCATGATAGATTTAGTGGAGTCGTTTTTTTATGAAGTTCCAGTCTGAAAGTCACTGTTAAGCATAAATTAGCAGAATGCTAGAAAATTAAATTAAAAATTTATGTCTAGAAGACAGTGTAAATAATAATTTTAAGCGCTTAGTTCTATCATGAGCGCCCCCTGCCGCTCTCCAATGTGAATTGCAGCCAATTTCTACATAACGGGAGTTAAAGGAAGTGGAGTCACTCGATAGATTGACTCCGATTTTACATACATCTTCAGCAGAGGTGCTTTTTACTTCTTTATTTAAAGAATGTACACCTGGGTCATTTCTTATTAAATCATTGGGAAAAGACTGAAGTAGTAACACACCAAGAAGAGCGCATCTACTGATCGTGAAGATTTTGAAACTTAAATTTCAAAGCCTTAACACACATCTGCGAGTACTGAGAAAATTGTGTCCTGCAGGTTTTAGATGTGTCAGTGATTCAGATGGCTACATTACCCTACTCACCATATCTTGAAGTACTCCAGAGGGCTGGTAATGAACTAATCATTTGATTCTGGTATGTTGACCCTGGATGATATCTAAAACTGCAGAACACCGGACCTTGAGGCCTGGAGTTCCCCACCCCTGCTTTACAGGTTATCCAAAGTGGACTTTTTGTTTCCTCCAGTGAATCATCAGTGTTTTTTTTTTTCTTTTTAAAATCCCTCTACATCACAGACATTACATTGGTGCAAGTTTTGCTATTAAAATCCCTCAAAAATTCAATGAATGAAGACACAGGACACAGGAAATACTTTTTTTTACTAAAAGAATAAATTTTATTTCAGCACTGTAAGTCATTTCCCAACCAGTACAAACATGACTGCCATCTTTGTCTCTTTCTGAACCATTCCTCCCCTGCCTCTGTGAGATCAGACCACCAACAGCCAGACAAATTAAAAACAAAAGAACAAAAAAAACTTTCTCTCACCTTTCCACAAACCGTCTGGTGCTTCCATAATGCTAACAATGATGACAAATTATACCAACCATAATTATAACAGCAATAATGATGATGATAATATTTCTATAACAATAATATTATGGATAAATTTTAACCCTTTTTTCGCTGCACAGGTAGTTTTTGGGTGGTTCTGGGTACTGATGCGTTGACCGATGTGATGTGAAACGGCCCCCAACTTGACGGGGACTTGGCCACGAAGGGAGGGAGGTGGAAGGGGGGGGACAGGTTATTCTGAACCTTCTGGGGGGCTGTTGAGGGGGGGAGAGTGGCAGTGTAGAGAGAGACAGAAATTAGGGACCCTTATTCAAACCGGACAAGAATGCTGTGAGATTTCCTGGACAGATACAACCCAACCGATGACTCCTTTCTGTATGACAGAAGATAATACTGTTTCATTTCTACAATAATACACGCACACACTCCTGTTCTGGGGCTTTTGCTTCTCTTCAGAGGATGCTCCCGTTTTCGTGGGCAGAGAGGTGGGGGGTTACTTTTAACCAGCTTTATGACACAAATACTATCATTTCAGTCAGAGAGCAAGAATTTTCCTCACAGCGCTTCAGCTGAGACGGTTTAAACCTCCTGATTTAAATCAGAAACTAGAAATAAAATTTTATGATGATCAAAGCGAGATGTAAGCCATGGATTGGAATTTGTTAACTAGGACTGCAGCTAAGGCTTGCTTTATTGATTCCTTCAAAGTAAAACCGCTTTTAGCAGAGAAAATGTCTTAAAATTGCTTCTTTTTATTTGAACAAAAGCCTCTAAACCAATAAATGCCCTAACTAAGATGGAAAATAATTTTTTTTCACTATAAAAACAGGATGTTGACTATGGACTGGGATTAACTAACAAAGTCTGCAACTTGCAATGATTTTCACTACTGATGTCAAAAGTAACAGACAGCATCTTAAAATCTCTTATTTTTGTCAGACCAACTGTCTAAAATTTATATATTTGGCCTAAATCATATCCGATCATGAAGTCAATGATGCAGCTAACAATTCCTTTAAATACGACTTAATGATTGCACTAAAATGTGCCAGGAAGTAGCTGTATTTTCTGCAGCTCGATGAGACTAACATCAATTAGCTTGTTATGGTTTAAACGTACAAATGTCAGAATAAAACACTAATTTCCACCAAGAGATCGGCCCTACAACTACCAAATATGCATTCTGATTTTTAGTAAGTGACAGAAAATTGCTCATCTTGCAGCAGCAAAACGGCATAATTAAAATCGCAAGTTCAAGTCCACAAAACTATGAGATTCTATCAAATTATTTTGTATGAGAAGCCCGAAAGCTCTGAAAGCAGATCCTCATGGCTAAAATGTTTATTTCCTTGATGTGAATAAACCTCCTGGATGGTCGATCAATCTCAGATTCGCACTGTGAGGAAAACTGTCTCTCTTTCCTCCGCCTCAGTGCCCACGTACAGCATGAAAAGACCCGCTCAGCTCAAGTCCTGGGAGCTAAAAGACAATGTTTTGAAGAAGAAGAAGAAAAAAAAAAAGCAATAGAGGGTGCCAAGAAGCTCGGCGTGACAGAGAACATATTTGTCAGGTGTCGTTCCTTCTTCCCGTGTGTGGTTACTTGTAATAATTTGATGTGATAGGAGCAAGTGGAGCAGTTCACACCGCCTAAAACTTCACCATGAGGAGCGAGCGGGAGATTTTGATGAGACGCTCACTCGCCGCCCGGTCCGTCTGCATCTCCACAAAAACCACAGTATGAAAAACAACAAAAATAAAAATGAAACACCACACCGTTACCTCACAGATCTGTCGGATAAATCACACGTGCTGCAATGTCATTATACATATAATCATCAGAAACTTATTACTCAGGGTGGAGGGGCGGGGAGCTGTCAATGTTGGGCAGGGGGAGGGGCTATAGAGGAGCTTGTTTTTGGGGGGGCGGAGGGATAGACGGGGATACTAGGTGTACTTTGGTTCTCAGGTGTTCACAAGAGATATTTCGCTGCTTTGTGCAAGGGCGCAGAGTTGAGCTTTGATTAACGACGAAGAGCGAAAACTCGTTATCGGGGATAATATGAGAATCGAACATAGTGCAGACGACGATTTTCAATCCGAAAAAACGGGCAATATTTACTTACGTACAATAATAAAACGGTGAAGTGGTCTACAGATGCCATATAAAATACAGGTAAGGAAAATGGCGATCGTTACAGTTCAAATCTCTAGGTTGGCTAAGCGTATTTCAGTACTAACTGAAGCGATGGTAGAAGGATTAGATTAGAAGATGTAATAACATTAAAAATAGTAAGAAAAAACACATTTTGCACAATTGAATAAAACAGTTTTGATTTTTTTTTTTCAGATTTTTTTTAAATCCACTCTGGCTAGATACATACAGAAACTGATTATCAACGTTAATATAACCTTTACTGTTAGTTGGGTTGATTAAGGGGGCGGGGCAGCCCGAAGAGAAAAAGAGAAAAAATAAAAACGGCCAATAGAAACGGTCCTAAAGGGGCTAACGGAGCAGCAGAGAAGGAGGTGAAAGGAAACTGATACAGTGGGAGGAGGACAGGGGTGGGATTAACCTGTGTGGAGGATATCTGTGTGCGTGTCTGCAGTGGGCTTGATTTATGTGTGTATGTGTCTGTGTGTGTGTTTTCGTGGATGTAAGTACTCTACAAGGAGGCCGAGGAAAAATTTGAGGGTGGGAGAAAAGAATAAATGGATGAACAGCGAGAAGAAGTGTCATAGCAGGGGCGGGTTAGAGGATAACAAGCATAAAAATCACTGATCAAATACCTATCAAACTAAAACAGACGAGGACAAAAGAGGGACACTACATCATGTGTTGTGTTGACTTTTTTTTTCTTTTTTTTTCCAAACTACCTACTGTGTAACTCAGGATTTAACATCTATATATCCGTGTGTTTATTATGTGCGTGTATTCTAAAAATGTGTCAGTGTGCGCGTGTTTCTCCAATCTGTGTCCATGCAGCAAAAACTTGAACGTGAATGTGGGATTTATTTATTTTTTTCTTCCTCCTCGCGGTCAGTAGAAAGTGTTACCAAAAAAGATCTCCGATGAACTGACGACCACTCCACTGGGAACTGAAACTGCACGAAAAGAAATCACTTCAGCACGAAAGCAGAGAGAATGCCGCTGGTAACAAATCAACTGATTCCTCTGTGTGTGTGTTTATGTATTGTGAACGTGTGTGTGTGTGTGTGTGTGTAACTGTTATCTGGCGAGCGAATCGAGAGAGGGCATCAAATACCAGGTCACACTCTGGATCGCTGCAGAAAAGCCATCTTCTAACAATGTACTGCTGTAATACACGTATTTGTAGTAATGTCAAAAGTTGAAAGCAGTTAAGTATATGACTCCTAGTAATTCTAGACTTAGTATTTCGGCCAGTGGAGCTATATTCTCTAGCCTAGTCTTGGTGTCTGTTTTACAGTCCTGTGTTAAGCCCCGACACTGTTTACCTACTCTCAACCTAAGAACACCTAAAGTGCTCGTAGATCCCTACCCATTAACGGCTAACTAGTCCGAACCTTTTTTTGATTTCATTTGGTGTTGGTGTAAGAGGCGGCGGCGTGGCCTCGGCGGGCCTACGCTCACGGCTGGGTCGACTGTCAGCGTGTCACTGTAAATGGCTGAGTTCATAACAGAGGGGATGTCTGACGCGACTACATTAACACTTACTTATATATATTTATATATATAGTCAGGGTCTTCTGTTTCCTTCAAAAAACAAAAAAGAAACGAGAAAAAAAAGCAAAAAAAAAAGCATTTCATAGGAGCTTTTTTCTTCCGTGTTAAATTTTGTGGCACACGATGAAGCGCAAGTCATCAATGTAGTAAGAAAATAAGGTGCTTCTTTGCTGACTTGCCCTTTTTTCCATGTGACGAGTTTATTTCAGCCTCTCTACGTACGTTTTAGAGAGATTACAACGACCATGGCCAGCATCTCTCAGGCAGTATCTGTCGCTCTACTGCTTTGACGTTTGCAGTTGTGCTACAGCTAATCGTTAAGAAGGTACATGCTTGTATTTCCTTTGTCAGATGAGACGTTACTGTGTGTGTGTGGAGGTGGGGGACACATTTCATTCTCTACAAACATAAATGCTCTAATAAAACATTTCCTAGAAGTCTCAGATTGTGAGCGGCACGCTCGGGGGTCCGCCACGAGGCCTCCCTCTCCCCTGTCAAGTGACGATGCGGTCCAGCCAGTGAAGGCTCGCGCCACGCTCGGCTGAGGCGCTTCAGGGGCAGGGAAGTGCTTCCTGCTGGTCTAAAGTGACACACCGGAGCTTCGCCGAGCAGCGGCTCTCAGTGTCGGGCATTCGTAATGACAACAGCTGCTCAATCTTTTGAGGCTTTGCTGCCACGCCCCTTTTATATCACATGTGTCTTATGAAAATACACTTTGGAAATAGTTTTTAAGAAATCTGAAATGATTCCCAGGATCTCCTCGACGTGGACGATCAAGACTCCTTTTAGCTTCATAGCAAAGTGAATGTATGAGGGCAGTCTGAGGGGAACTCTGCCTGGCAGCAGTCGCCCAAAAACCTCACCGCTCATTTCCATCTTTTACTGGACAGTTTCCATTCCTACGTTTTTGGCCTTTAACTGAAGAAGGTGCCTCAGAGAGGTTGTCATTTCTATATCAACTGTTAGAGGACTGTCCAGTGTGGTTTAACATTTTTTAAAACAAAGTGCTTCTTTGTCTGAAACCACTCTGTTCACATTCTGACGTCTCTCAAATAGATCTCTACCTTTAAATGTAGATCTATGTGTCATAATGATTTAATCGGGCGCGGGGAACGCCCCTCACCGACTGTCAATTCAACTGTCTAGGGGCTTGTTGAAATCCATTATATTTAAATAGAACATTAAGTGCTTCTGCTGGGGTAGTACAATCAAAGCTTTGGGAAGAGGGGAAGGGGGCGGGGTGAGGGGTGGGACAATAACATAATGCAATTTTTTTTTCTTTTTTTGGAGGGTCGGGGGGAAATCTTGCATACTGTAGGGCTTAAGGTGCATAAATTCATGGGATCTCTTAGCACAGCTAAGTACTAGGCTATGCTACACTGGGCAAAGTAAGATATCACACTAATGCCGTGGTGGTGCAGAAGTGCTTCAGTGACTGATTAACCAATCAAATCAATCAATCAATCAAAGAATAAAACGAAACAAAAGATAACGGGGTTTGATGCGAGTGCTACCGCTGCATGTTTAGCAGCGCTGCCCGCCGACCTGGTTGCAGAATGGAGTTTGGCAAGGGTCGCTGCACAGAAGAGTCAGACTCTGAACATCTGACCTCTCGTGAGGTGGCTATGGCAAC